GAATATATTCAACAATGGTGCAGCCACTTTGAAACAGTTCGGTGGGTCCTCAAAAAGTTAAATATTGAGTTACCAAATGACCCAACAATTCTATTCTTAGGTAATACCTACCCAAATGAATTGAAAATATATATTGAAAAAAATAAAAAGAAATGTACCATAAATTCTTCCAAATGGATACCATGGGTATCTATCAATGGATATACCACGAATATGGTGTATCTCCTCATTTATTTAAGCTGCCTTTGATTCCTTGTATCAGTGTTTTGTAACTTTCAGCATACAGATCTAGAACATACTCCTTTAGATTTAAGTATGCCTATTTCATGGTTGTTTTGTTCTAATGTGCATGGCACTATTTCAAATTTCAGTTTCTAATTTTTCATTGTTTGTATATAAAAATACAACTGATTTTCGTAAATTGACTTTGTATCTTGCAACCTTGTAAGACTACATACAATTCTTCTTATCACAGGGTTGCTCCCTTATTTGTGAAGCTAGAAATTATGATTTTCACAGTGCAATGCAGTCAAGAAACTAAAACATTAAAAGTAAATTTGCTGCCCTGGCTAGTATGGCTCAGTGGATTGAGCACCAGCCTGAGAACTGAACAGTCACTGGTTCAATTCCCAGTCAGGGCACATGCCTGGGTTGTGGGCCGGGTCCCCATGTGGGGGCATATGAGAGGCAACCACACATTGATGTTTTTCTCCCCCTCTCTCTTCCTTCCCCTCTCTCTAAAAATAAATAAATAAAATCTTTAAAAAATTAAATAAAAATGGAAAAATGCAATGTGTTCTTAATATAATTCACAATATGCTTGTTTCCAAGGGGAAAAAAAGGATAAATGAATACTGTGCTTCTGTCAAGGTGTTCTCTCAACTTGTGACACATCCTATGAGTCATGGCCCCACCTGGAAAAGGTATTATTCAATGTACAAATGGAAACTACATTCTTCTCCAAAAGAATGGGATTCTTCTAAGCGAATATGAGGAGAAGCCACAGGAAACCATAAGGAAAACAAACTACACAGACCATAATCCTTGCGTCTTTGGAACATACTGACAAAACTCCAGGGAACCGGAATAACCTCTAGATTACACAACATGGATTTACATAATTGAAACATCCTCTATCAATATAAAATAGATATAAAAATGCCACAAAAAGCCCTGGCTGCTGTGGCTCAGTTGGTTGGGCATCACCCCGCAAAGCGATGGGTTGCTGGTTCCATTCCCGGTCAGAACACATGCCTGGGTTGTGGGTTTACTACCAGGTTGGGACGCAAACTATACAAGAGGCAAACTATCAATGTTTCTCTCTCTCTCTTTCTCCCACCCTTCCCCTCTCTCTAAAAATAAATTAAAACAAAATGTCTAATAACGCCACAAAAAATGAAATTGTTCTTTCTCTTACAATCTCTTTGTAAAGAGCAGCAGACAACATTTATGGGGGGAAAGGTAAATCGATTAGTAGGACTGGGAACAGAAATTGGGTCAGATTACATGTCGTCCACACGTTCTTCAGGTCCACTCTTCCACTTTCCAGTTCATTTGCGCCTCTTTTGAGAAGTTCATCCAAGATTCTCCCCCAAAATTCCGGCCCCACAGGACAGAGGTGGTCTGTCCTGTGGCCTCCTCTCAACATCCTCTGACACTTTTACTGACCCTCTTTGTCTATCTTTTCATCGTGATATTTACTGCATTTATCTATCGTATGCCAAGAACCCGACTAAATGCTATGCCCGCATCACCTCATTTAATACTATAGAACACCACGATGTAGGTGTTGTTATTACCCATTTTATAGAGGAAGAAATTTAGGCACAAAAAGGTCCCACTATTTCTAAAAGTCACACAGCTAATAAATAGCAGATGAGAATTTCATCCCAGGTAGTCGATTTCCAGAGCCCACTCTCTGAACTGCTACACATCAGCTTAAGTCACTCATTCCATATTTACAGAGCACCAAGCACGAATGCACGGCACTACAACTAGATGTAAGACCAAGACAAGGTCCCTCCCTGCAGGAACTGCTGGTCTGGTTGGGAAGACCAACACAGAGAACGGCAATACCCTGAGTACTGTGTAATGACCTAAGTGTGTTGGGAAGCGACAGGAAAAATTTGGGACAGGGCAAGCATCTCAGAACTCGGGATGGTCCGAGTCCATCATACAATATAAGAGTGCCCCCTGTTTGGGTCCCTCTGTATTCCCCCATAATTCCTCACAGGCTCTGAATAAACATTTGTTGAGTGAACAACTAATGTTGACCCATTTCCCCTGCTTTTGTTGTGCCTGTACCTACTGCCGTTCTACAACTCAACTCAGAAAGATGTGCCAAGAAGCCCACACTACATTTATTTTGCTCTCCATCATATCCTTCTTTCATTCATTCAGTAAGTATTCACTGACTGCCGACTATGAGCCAGCCACTGAATTTGACATGTAACACAGGGGTGAACAAGTCAGAGAGAGACCCTGCTGTACTGGAAGCCACATTCCAGTGGATGAAACGATCAAATACATACAAAAGAAACAAGCAAACACTGAACAAGATCATTTCAGATAATAATTTTAAGTGCTAGGAATAAAATTAATGAGGAAATATGACAAACAGTGACTACTGGGTGTTAATTGACATTGGGAAGACCAGACTTGAAGGTAACATTGAAACTGGTGCGTTCTTATTTTTGAAGGAAAAAAGCAAAGCTAGAAATCCCAGCCAAAATTAGGAGCCAGAATTAACCTGTGTTACTGACAAAGGATTGCAGTATTTCTTCCCCAAAATGTATACCTAACTCAATTGTTAAAGGAATAGAACACTATTCACGCATTCCCCAATTTTATGTAAAATTGGTTTGGTTTTATTTTCATAAAAAGTGGTGTTACTTTATTTCAGAAATGAAAATGTGGCCATGTTATATACTGATTTATTTTTACCTTTATGCTTGTTTCTAAAAAAGCAAGGGGAGGGGTGGACTAAGGAGCCACCTGCACGAACAAGGTCCTGGCAAGTGGCAAGGACGCAGAAACTTGATTTCTCTAACACTGACGGATTTTGCTTTAAAAACCATCTTATTCAAAACATTTGAAAGAATGTAATGTAACATTCACACTTCATATTTCTTAACCCTTTAAAAAGGGCATTGGAAGTAAATGGTATATTTAGAATAAAGAAGAAAGTTTTGTTTTTGTTCTTTTTTACTAATGTTGCAAGGAAATAGACAGCAGGCTTTAAAAATTAATTAACACTAATTTTGGCAAGTTATTTAAGGGCTCTGGGGCTCCATTTGCCCCTCCCCCTTCAGTTAAAATGAAAGTGTTGACATTATAGGATCCCTACGGGTTCTCCCAGCCCTAAATACCTTGATTCTGCTTACGGAACAGAGGGTATGTGATTCAAAACCTTTACCGCATGGGGAAGGCAGGTGTTATAGTGGGCACTTAAAAAAAACTGGCTTGTTTGGGATTCATTTTTTATAACAATTTTCTTCTGGTGTAATGGGTATATTCCTACACATCAACAAAAAGAATGGAAAAGAAGAAAAAAACAGTATAAAGAGAGAGGCGAATGTGTGCTACAATAGGAAAAAATCATTGGGAAGGCAACCGATTTCCACCATTTTTATTCTATTTCCTTTCTTACCCTCTCCTTTAGAGAAAAGCCCAGTTTTAAATTTCTCCTAATTCCAGAAGAGGTAGTAGCAAAACCCACAGCGATCCTTGCACATCTTTTTTTGCTGTTGAAGAAGTAGCCACAATACTGAAGAGACACAGTCCGTCTACACATCGCTAATCTCTAGCACTGAGGACGCCGTTTTCCAAATATTATTGCCAACATCGGCCCACACTCCACTGCAGGCGGCACTCACCACGATCTATTTTTTAAAACCCATGTACGTCGAGCTTTTCATCCCATAAACAACCATTTCCTCCCTGCAACAGGGGCTCGAACAGCCCGAGACATTCAGGCGAGTCACGGCTGAGTCGCGCAAACAGAGGGACTGCAGACTGCGGTGCTGGGCAGGGCCGCTCCTCCCGCCGCGCGCTCCAGCGTTCCTCGTCAACGGGTGTGATTTAGGAGGGTTCAGGACCCTGGGAAGACCCCGCCCTTGAAACCAAGACCCGGGAACCGGAGGCGGAGAGAGGCGGCCTCAGCCCAGCAGAGCCAAGCCTTTGGAAATCTGGCTCCTCTCCAGCGGCCAGGAGCGGCCCGAGCTAGTGCGCGGAGCCGCTCGCTCCCAGGTGGGTCTCTTGCAGCCGGGGACCGCGGCTCCGGCTCGCCGCGAGGGCGGAGAAAGTAGGAGGAGGGCCCAGGCCGGGATTTCGCTCATCACGATTCAAGAAGGAGGGTGGGGAAAAAGGGAGGGGCTGGAGAAGGAAAAAGGAGTGGAATCAGGGGGCTTAGGGAATAAAGAAAGCAAAGAAGGGGAGAAGGGAAATGGAGGAAGGTGATGGAGTGAAGAATGAGGTGCAGAAGAGGGTGATGGGGGGCAGGAGAGGAGGGTACAGAACAGCAGAGGGTAAAGGCCAGGTGAAGGGGGAGGGATGGGGTGCCGGGGGTGAAGGGGGAGGTAAAACAAATGGAGCGGGAGGATGGAGTGAAGAGGAGAGAAATGGGGATGAAGAGGGGAGAGATGGGGAGGAGAAGAAGGGGGTGGAAGCATGAGAGGTGCGGGGATGAAGGGAAGGGATGGAGATAAAGGCGAAGGCTAGGAGGAGAGGGGATGGGGCGCGGAAGGGCGGGAGGGGGAAGAGGGTGGGATTCGGGAAGGGAAGAGCGAGGGAAGAAGGGAAGCGGACGCGGGCCGCTGGAGGCCGGAGGGACTTCCCTCGGAGGGCGGCGCCGGAATAACGGAGCCCTCCCAGCTGCAAGCCCCCGGCCGGGCGGGGCGAGCAGCCAGCCCGGAGGCCCTGGCGCTGCGGGCAGGTACGGCGCCGGGCTCCTCCCCGCAGCCGCAGTCCCTGCCTGCGGAGAGATCCCCGACTTCACTTACTCTCTCCGACCACGGCTTTGAGGCCAATGGGTGCCATCGCGCTGCGCGAGTCTTCGGGCTCCGAGCCTCCTCACGCGACGCCCGTGGACACCGCCGCCTCCCCGGGTCAGCGGACTCAGCCGGCTGCAGCCCGCTGCCCTAAAGCCGCTCTAGGGACCGAATGACGCTCGGACTCCGCGCGGGGGCGCCGAGCGAGTCAGAGCGAGGCTGCCGACCCGCAGGCGAGCGCGCGCGGGGGCGGGGCCGGCCGGGGGCGGGGTCTCTTTCCAGCCGTTAGCGTCACCCGGGCGCCTACGCCAATCGCACTACGGCCCGAGGGCTCGGCGCCGCCCGCCGAGATGCGGCTGGGCGCGAGGCGGCCTCTGGCTGGAGCAAGAGCCGCGCCCTCCCCCTCACCTCACGCGCCGCGCGTCCCCGACAAGCGCGCGCTCTTGGAGCGCGAGGTCCTAAAGTCCCCAGCGCTGTCTCCGCAACTGAATCCCTGGCCACAGGCTACTCACACTCTCCATCTTCCTGCAAATCCGCAGGTTCTGTTTTTCCTCTTTTTGGTAGCCTTTCATTCTTCTCCTTCCCATAGAAGGCACTCGGAGGCTAGATCTTTTATTAGTTATATGCACAGCCAAAACATAACGTGCGGTTGGTTTATTGACACCATCTCTGTCTCTCCGGGTATCTATCCATAAATTCACCATTCACCGAACTGTTAGGTGTCAAGCTCCATGCTAAGCCCCTGACATGAGTCATCTCATTAAATTCTCACAATAACTGGGCATTGTTTTTCATCTTCATTTTCAGATGAAAAAAAAAAAAAAAAACCAGGCCCAGAGAACTGAGCGCTAGTCTTGCTCTCGGGCTGTGTATCATTTAATAGCAAATACTTATTGATATCTCCCTGCTTATTGGTATGTACGCTGCTATTCTGGGTATTGGAGCTACAGCTGTGTACAAGGCAGACTCAAATCCCACTCTTTGGGCACTGAGAGTCTAGAATTTTTAACTCCCCAATGTGATAAGAATATGCTGTGGGACTACTTTTCATCTCAGTATCTCCTTCCTGGAGTCCACATTTATCAAAGCACTCCCAGGTCAGTTTTTGCTGGAATTTCTTTGTTGGTGGGGGAGATTATTTCTGAACTACGGGACAGGGCTCACCTCTGTCTTAAAAAAATGAATAGAGCCCCCTAAAAATCAAAAAGGATAGGAGAGCTACTAGTTGCAAAATCAATAAATGCTCATTAGTTTTTCAAACAGCTCTGTGAGCTAGGTCTTTTCCTTAATAATATTAAGAAGTAGAATAGCCCTAGCTGGTGTAGCTCAATGGATTGAGTGCGGGCCTGCAAACCAAAGCTATTGCCAGTTTGAATCCCAGTCAGGGCACATGCCTGGGTTGCAGGCCATGTCCCCAGTACGGGGTGCACTAGAGGCAACCACACATTGATGTTTCACCCCTCCTCTTTCTCCCTCCCTTCCCCACTCTCTAAAAATAAAAATTTTTTAAAAGATATAGAATAATATTTTACAGACAAGGAAATTCAAATTCAGAGAAGATAAGTCCTTTGCTAGTAAGTCACACAGAAAAGATCCAATTCTAGAATCTGAATTCTGAACCCTTATTTTATACTGAGCTGTAAGTAAAGAAGCTGAGGCCTGAAGGAGGACTTTCCCAAGGTCATGCAGTGAACAATGAGGACAAGAGGCTCATGTCCTAGTTCAGCCACCAGCTCCAGGTCGTGAGTTTGGCCATCTTCTCATCCTCACCCCAATATACCCCAACAGAAGCTTCCTATGGCTTCTCAGAGACAGAAAGTATTCATCTGTCATCTCCTTATGTCTGGGCTCAGCCTTTTACCCAAGGAAGATATTGATTGTCTCAGTCCTTTGGGGAAGAAGGAGATAGTTTGCAAATGTGAGGGAACTTAAGATGCACTTTTGATGCCACATGCTCCCTCCTTAGCCACCCGGCATATGTCAGCCGAGACGGCCCTCAGGGAGCTGGGATGCCAGCTGAGAAGAAAGGAATCAAGAAGTCACACACAACAGTGGGTTATTGTTGTACTTAGCGCTGAAGTAGAAGGACAAGGGACTGCGAAAGTAAATGACCGAGTACCTGACCAAGGGGTATGGGGCGGAATGCAGTCACAGCAGGCTTCCTGAGATTAACACAAGAGAGCAAGAGGGAACTGGGAGAGTGTCCCAGGCAGATAGACAGAAGGCACGAATAACAAGTGCCAGAAAGGAGTTCTGCTTTTCCAGGAACAGAGAGAGGGCCCGTGTGACTAGTGGGGAAAGACTCTAAGGGGCAGAGTGGGAAGGTCAGCCTCCCAGGGGTAGCCCTTGCTGCAGGGTTCCAGGACTATTGGGTGGCCTGGAATCTGTGTGAGACCTCCTCATAGCAAATAAAATATAGCAGCTCCTTATTTTCTACAGAAGGAAAGAAAAAAGAAATCCTTTCCTGAGGATGTGTACCTGAGATGTTCACTAGCAATGGCAATAATTAGAGTGGGTGTTACTTTGAACAGGATGGTTGAAAGGGCTGGAGGGGGTGGTAGGCAATGAGCTCACTCTGCACCCTTGACAGTGAGGTGGCAGACTGGAGTCTCTCTGGATGCGACATCCCAGAGCTGATTTGAGATCTCTGGCATCTCTGAGCCTTGGTCCCTCCATCTCTGGGACAGAGACAATAAAGCCTCAGGGCCTCTCCCACAGTGGCTCTGAGGAGCCAGGAGGATGACCTACACCAGAGGGGAAAGTCCTCCCTCAGTCTTCACACAGCACTACTCTTAGCTCTGTATTCTTTATTTGCATATACATTTGATATATGCCAGACACCTCGCAAAGGGCTCTCAAGTATTTTCATCGAATGCTCACTATGGCCCCACGAGGCCGGTGCTATTATCATTCCATTTTCCTGGGGCGCAAGGAGGTCAAGTCACTTGCCCAAGCTCAGGCGGGTCTACGTGCAGGCCTGGGTCTCACCCTCCGACTTTCCGATCCCCGGGAGAGAACGTTCAGCGCCCAGGCACAGCCCCAGTACCCTGACCTAAGGAAAGATTTGGCTGTTTGAACAGCTTGCTCAAAGCGCCCAAGCCAGAAATCTCGGGAGTCCGGGCTCAAGCGGGTCCACCACCCGGAGCCCGGCCGTGCATGAGGGCAGAACCCAGCCAAGCGTCCGCCGGATGCTCGGCGCTTGGTCCACAGCGCAGCCCTCCCCGCGCGCGCAGGTGCGCCTGCTGCTGCGCATGCGCTGCCTGCAGCCACTGCAGAGCCCGAGTATGGGCCTGTTGCCGGGAGTGGGAAGAGTCCTGTGATTCACGCATTCGTCACATGAGGGCTTGGCTATTGCGCCAGGAGCCACGCAGGTGGGAAGACCGATGCGGAGAGGAGCTGGGATCAGGACAGAGAGGCAGGGAGTGGCCTGGAGGGACTGAGACCTGAGGGAGAGGAACAAGCTAGCCGGAATAGGCAATGGGGTAGACCAAGATGAGACAGAAGTAACCGGGTGCAGTTGCCTCTACCAGACCTACTGATACCGTGGACCCACTAACTTGGGTCCCCTCCCACCCATACAACACACACCACACACCCAGGGCCTGTTGGGGAGGCCTGGGTCCAGAGTTTGACCTCTTCTCTGACAGTCTTGGGCTTGCACCTACCTCCCTGTTAAGCAGCAGCAGCAGCTACATTTTTTTTCATGTCCACCTTCACCCTCTCCTCTTGGCTGATGGGTCTTGAGATACTGCTACATCCTTTTAGGGACAGTTTTTAAGAGTTCAACAAGATAATATTCATCTTTAATACTGGGAACCTAGTAAGGGCCCAGTGAATGTTAGCTGGTAATAAGGTCGACAGTGACACGCCATGAGGCTGTAAACACAGTAATGGGCATTTCAGTTGGCGCCCTGCCTATTTTGCTGTTGTAGACTCATTGGAAGAGAATGGAAAAGTAATTGTCTCCATCACAGCCACCCCGCTAAGCCATACCCAGTACAAAGAAAGAGCAGCTGGCCCTGAGTGCTTGTTTGGTACATTCTTTTTTTTTTTCTTTAAGATTTTATTTATTCATTTTTAGACAGAGGGGAAGAGAAGGAGAGAGGGAGAGAAACATCAATATGTGGTTGCCTCTCGTGCACCCCATACTGGGGACTGGCCCACAACCCAGGCATGTGCCCTGACTGGGAATGGAACTGTGATCATGTGGTTCACAGCCCGTGCTCAATCCACGGAGCCGCACCAGCCGGGGCTTTCTTTGGAACATTCTTATCCCCAAAAACAAGTGAAAAGTTTTTTGTGTTTGAGGTTGGAATACATTATCAAAAAGGCTTCGTTTTCAAAATCGTAGGTAGCGTTCTCAAACTCAAAAGGCCAGGCAGACACGCGTAGCACCAATGTGCCCGACTGCAGAGCACTTGCGTCGCTCAGGGGGGCGGTGCTTACTCAGCTCCGACCAGCGCTTCCCACGCAGTGACTAAGGGTCTTGATTGTAGAAGTTATATGACGTCTTCCACTGTGTAAGTGTTCCAGTAGATTGTAACATTTTTAATAACACCACAAAACAACACATCCACAGGCTGCATCCAGCCCCCAGGCTACATGTATACAAACTGTGGGGCACTAATACCCCTTCCCCAAGCAGCAGGTTCCTGGAGAGGCACTGATTTCTACTCAGCTCACTAGAGCCCCCTAGTGGGCGGGGCTTTAGACAGTGATAGCGGTGGTGTGAAAGCCTGGGCACCAAGAATGAGGACCTTCCTGCTCAGCGTGGAGAGCCAGGAGAGAGTCCCTCTGCTCAGCCTGGCTCTGGGGGGCAGGGTGGGGGTGGGGCGCAGTCCTTTAAAAAGTGCCACCTCCTTTTGAATGGACTGGTGAGCACCTGCAGTGGGAGCCTCTGAGGACAGCTGGTGCAGGCAACTCAGCTTTGCTGGGACTGTTAAAGCCCCACAGTCCCAGGATATGCCCAAGAACGAGGAGGGAGCCGCCCCCAAATGCCAGATATGAGCAGTCTCAGTGACCTCCGACAGTGGGGACTTCAAGCTGATTTACTTCGATTTAGAAAAATAAAGAAATATGGCACATGGCATTTTTTACACTTTGGGTATCAGAGAACAATTTATGCCTTTGACCCGTTAAATTGTTGTGCGATCCCAGAGGCAGGAGTCTCCATTCCTTCCTAGAGCTGGAAACAAAGGAGCAGTCAGACCACCAGCGTCCCTCCCCATCCTGCACAGCCGGGC